GGGAGTGCAGGCCCCAGCAGCTTCTGCCATGGGGGCAGCCCCGGAAGTTGGGGGTTGAACCAACCCAGTCTGCAAGTTTCCCCTGGTTTGGGATGTTGGGGCCCCTTGAAATCAGACACCAGCCAGGCTGGCCGGTCTGTGCTGTCACCCAGTCGGGGGCTCCTCGGTGCACGTCACACTCTCTTGGGCAGGGTTGTGGGGAGATGGGCCCCACAGCCCACCTGGTCCCTGCGGTTAAGCCTGAGCTCGTCCCGTTATCCCGACCAAACTGATAAAGCAGCTACCGGGGGGCACATGAGGGCAGCTGCACTGCAGAGAAGCCCACTGGAGCACCCAGTACCTTGCCATGGCGGTGTATCCGTAAAGGCAGGGAGGCCCCAGGCCCCACCCGGGCAGACCCCTCAGTGCTGCTGCAAACAGCTTCCCCAGATACCCTAGGAGATCCCGCAAACACCCTGTCCTCAATCTGACCCCAGGGGCTCAGTCTGTCTTTCTGCCTCCCTCACAACACACCTAGGAAGGAAGGAACCATCCCCATTTTACTGATGGGAAACTGAGGCCCAGAGAGACCAGGCAGTGCAGGGAGTCTGTGGCCAAACTGGGAATTAAACCCAGGGCTCCCGAGTCGTAATCCAGCCTCTGTGGCTGCCGGCTCCTGCTGAGGTCTCAGCTGAGCGCCCAGGGCTCTCGGCCACCCTCTGGCACAGCGACTGCAGGGGCTGATGTGTGACAGGAACCAGACTTGGCCATAACCCAGCACTTTGGAAACACTGGATCTCAAAGAGGCCTGAACAAAGGTCACGATCCTGCAGGGCTCTGCGTGCCCCACAGGATCAGACCCCCAGGTCACACACTGGGGACGCTGGTTTGAAGGGCTCTAGCTGGGAACCCAAAAGCAAAGAGAGAGAAAATGGAGCTAGACTGCGTGGGCTGGAGCAGGGGCCTGAGCCAACACGCTCAGCTTGGTACACGACCCTCCCTGTAGCCTGAGGGATCTGGGCCTGGGGCTCTGTCCCAGCCCCGCTCTACGGGTGTGGGACAGGGAGCTGGTTAGCTGGGCCCTCGGATTCTGGCAGCAGCAAACAGCTTCAGATCTAGAGCCTGGACTCACTTCGTTTCCTGCTTCTGGAAGCTCCTGGCCCAGAGACTTTTCTGGACTCCTGGGGCTGACTCTGGTTTCACGCGGGTGGCTGCGGGAGAGACCTGAGAGTCCCCAGCCGAGCTCTGAGGGCCGAGCCGCCATCTCGCTCACCACACTGGCAGCCCCACTAGGTGCGGGCAGGGAGAGAGGCATTTGCTGTAGGGAAGATTAGCCAGCGCCAGCTGACGGGCCCTGCTCAGCACAGGCCGTTGGGGCGGGAGTGAATGCAAGGACTGCAGTTCCCATTTAGGGCCAGCCCCAAGCTGGGGGGCAGAGATGGCGGCTGGGCCATGTAGCCAGTGGGGGGGAGGGAAGAGAGAGCCCGGCAGGGAAATGCGCTGGGCACCAGTAGGGGAACTGGGCTAGAAGAGAAATGACCTGTACTGCTCTTCGGGGATGCTATTATTATCCCTCTCCTGTGCACCACTACCCTGTATGTTCAGGCTCAGAGGCTCCCATTGTAATTAGCAGTAATTAACAATGTCTCCCTCCACTCCCAACCCCCCTCTCTACAGTTAGCACCTGAAATGGACTGAGAGGGGCAGCCCAGGGCATTTGTGAGCACGTGGGCTGAAATCCCAGTGGCAGCTTTGCCCGTGGCTCCAGTGGAGTTGGATTTATCCCAGGGCACCTTTCTCTGCTGGGACTAAATCAATGAGGAATTGATGGGAAAGGATTCATGGATTCCAAGGCCAGGAAGGACCATTGTGCTCATCTAGTCTGACCTCCTGGGTAACCCAGCCCAGAGACCTGTCCCCAGATGATTCCTAGACCAGAGCTGTTTGACAATTCTTAGATCAAGATTCTCTGTGATGGAGCATCCGTCAGCACCCTTGGTAAGCTAGTCCAATGGTTAATTACTCTCACTGTTAAAAATTTACACCTTAGTTCCAGTGTAAATTGGTCTAGCTTCAACTTCCAGCCATTGGATCGTGTTCGACCTTTCTCGGCTAGACTGAAGAGCCCGTTATTAAGTATGTGTTCCCCAGGTAGATATGTATAGATATTTACCCTTAGCCTTCTCTTTGTTAAGCTAAATAGACTGAGCTCCTTGTGTCTCTTGCTACAAGGCAGGTTTTCTAATCCTTTAATCATTCCTGTGGCTCTTCTCTGACCCCACTCCAACTGATCAACATCCTCCTTGAATTGTGGACACCAGAACTGGACACAGGATCCCAGCAGCCGTCACACCAGTGCCAAATAGAGGTAAAATAACCTCTCTACTCCAAATTGAGATTCCCCTGTTTATGCATCCCAGGATTGCTTTAGGTCACCATATTGCACTGGGAGCTCATGTTCAGCTGATTATCCACCACGATCCCCAAGATCTTTCTCACAGTCCCTGCTTCCCAGGATCGAGTCCCCCATCCTGTAAGTACGGCTGCACTCTTTGTTCCTAGCTGTGTGCATTTACATGTAGCCATATTAAAACATATTGTTTGCTTGTGCCCAAGTACCAAGTGATCCAGATCACTCTGTGTCAGTGACCTGTCCTCTTCATTTACCACTGCCCCAATTATTGTGTCATCTGCAAACCTTACGAAGGATGATTTTATGTTTTCTTCCAGGTCATTGATAGAAACGTTAAATAACGTAGGGCCAAGAACTGATCCCTGCGGGACCTCACTAGAAACACACCCGCTCGATGACGATTCCGCATTTACAATGACAATTGGAGACCTATCCGATTTTTAATCAAACTGTCATGCGGTATCATGCCAAACACCTCACAGAAGAGTTATGACGATTACATCAACACTGTTACTTTTATCAACCAAACGTGTAATCTCATCAAAAACAGATATCCCATTCCTTTGACAGGATCTACTTTCCATAAAGCCGAGCTCCCAAGTCTGAGTCTGGAATCCCGTCCCTGGGTTTGTTTGGATCCTGAGTGAGGATCCCTTATCAACCCTTCCAGCCTCAAAAGCCAGAGGCAGAACACACACATCATGGGCAAGGGGTTACACCCATCCCCTGGCCAGGCTGGCTTCCCATTCTTATTTAACCACTCCCTCCCCCCATGCACCCTGCTCCCGTTTCCCAGCCAGGGCTCATCCACCCATTCCCCAGATCTCAGGGGGAGACAGTGGAGCAATTCAGTCAATCGGCTGGCAGCGAAGGGGGGTGTTCCAGGACCCGGTGCGATGCCTTCGGATGGCACCCCTAGAATGCTTCCATATTCCAGACACACTGGGCTGGGGGGGGGGGGCTCAGGAGAGGGCATCTGGGGTCGGCAGGAAAAGAAGGGGAAGATCCCAAAGTACTTCCCACACTGGGTCCCAGCAGCCCCACAGAGGTGGGGCAGCCAGGCGATGATCCCATTGCAGGCAGCGATAGGGAGGCGGGGAAATGTGGGAGGGAGGATTTCTGTGCAAACCCTGACTTTTCAGACAGTGCCCCAGGGTCTGCAGGGTCCAGGCTGAGGGAACAGGGCTGGGGAGAGGGTCTCAGCCCAAAGGGGAGACGCTAGAGAAAAGGGGAGGCTTCTCCATTGAGAGAGGGTCTATGACACACACGTGTGCCGAGATGGGGTTGGCAGAGGGGCCGTGTGGGGCAGAGGGGGGTCAAGGCGAGCTGCGTGGGGCTGAGCAAGGATGGCAGGGAGCTGGGAAGTGATTCCCCCAGTCCTAGAGCTGGAGCCACCCTGGCTCCGGGCGCGTCTGTGCCTGAGTGACGGGAGCCCTCGGGGTAGGGTGACCAGATGTCCCGATTTTATAGGGACACTCCCAATATTTGGGGCTTTTTCTTATATAGGCTCCTATTACCCCCCACCTCCAACCCCTGTCCCGATTTTTCACACTTGTTGTCTGGTCACCCTGCCTCGGGGAGCAGCCGGCCTGCAAATTGTTAGTGAGGCTGAATGCGGAGAGCCTGGGGCCTGCAAATGCCGACGTGCAAACGAGGGCCAAGGGAACTGGTCCCACCCCAGCCCGGCTTCCCCTGGAACGTAACGCAGGACAGCAGCTGCCAGCAGGGCCTGGGCAGGGGTCCATGCCCAGCCGGGGGGGCACAACACTGGGCCTTTGCCCCACTCCAGGGCCACGGCTGCGCATGGAGCTCCCATTAACAAGCCAAGTGGAACCACCTGGGTGTCATAGGGGCTGCTGGGCAGGGGGGTCACTCGTTTGGGTGTGACTGGCTTCCACTTGCCACAGGCCCCAGCCTGCCCTGGGAACTGCTCGGAGGGGTTTCACTTTCAGCACAGGGTGTCCAGCCTCGCAGCAGGAGGCGGGTGCAGAACAAAGCAAGAAGCTGCCCCCAGAACTGCCCCTAGTTAAAGCTCAAGCCAAAGCACGTTGCTGCCCTGTGCCACTGGCAGGACGGCCCTGGAGGCGCCGGTTTGGCGCAGGCCCCTTCGCCTCAGGGCCGCCCACAGCGCTGCGCGACCCCTGAGACGCCAGCCCTGCCAGTCAAACCTGCACTCGGCCCCCTTTCCAGGCCCCTAAAAGCCTCCAAGGGTCTTAGTCACCAACTCCTTCAGGTCTGATGAACGAGCACTGCCTCGTTAAGAGGCGCCCGGCCCAGCACTGGCTCCTCCAGAGCCAGAGGGGAAAGCAGCACCCCCACCCCCACCACAAAGCCCACACACCCCGGGCCCCGCGTTCAGAACCAGCCCTCGAAGGCTCCCCAGGCGCAGGGTCGGGCAGGACCCAGCGAGGCCCAATCACGGGCTCAGGCCTGCTCCCGGCCAGGTGCCGCCTCCTCCGGCTCTCGGGCTTTTGAAAGACTCGGGGCCTCCTCCCCGGCCTTGCCGAGCCCCTCCCCGAGGGTGCGCTCAGCTTGCCCTGCACACGAGGCCTGCCCCTGCGAGAAAGGCCAGAGCCCTGGGGCCACCCGCGATGCCCCCCGCCCCTACCTGCGCCTTCAGCCCTGAGGAGCAGCAGCAGGCCGGGCACGAGCCACATCTTCATCCTGGCTGGCGGGGTCAAGCCAAGGAGCCCCCGCACGAGTCCGATCGCTCCCTCGCTGGGGCTGGGATGGCAAAGGCAGCAGCGACTGCTCCGATCCGGCTGCTCGGCGGAGACGCACTGTCCGGTGTGAGCTGGGTTCTGCGATTGACTCAGCAAGACGCCCCACAACCACAGAGCAACGCCTTCCTGCACTCACCACTCGCTCCTTAACTCTTCACATGGCCAAGCCTGGTGCAGTTCCCTTTTCTCCAGGCTGTGGTTGCATTAGGGAACTAGCCAGGGTTCACATGGGCCCAGGTCCCTTCCCGGAAGGGGTAGGGTGGGAGCCCACTGGTAATTGCTCAAGCACTGGCGGAGCTGTGTATCCAACGGCTGGGTGATGCCATTGACCCAGGCCACTGAGGGGCCCTTTGGGGCTGGCTAGGGCTCAGATGGGGGGCTAGTGCCTCAGGCTGGTTTGAATCCATCCCGGTACCGCTCTTGCCAGGCTCCATCCCAGCGCCCGTGTGGTCCCCCTAGATAACGCTCTCCAAGCACTGCGCTCTGCCCTGGGGGCTGCTGGGTTTCAAACCAGGTTCCTGGAGAGGCGGCGCCCAGAGCCGAGTGCCACGGCTGGGTTTGACCTAGCCTGGGTGGGGTCGTTCACACCTCACGCCATGGAGTTGTTAGCCAAATAGGGCTCGTTTCCCCCCGGAGCTTACCTAATTACACCAAGGAGGCACGGAGAGACATAAAGACAGGTACCAGGTTCTTTATTTGTCAGTCAGCTGAGAGGGTGCACCTCGGCTCGTGCCAGAGGAGACACACCTTACATGGGCGACATAGGCCCTTTTTATAGCCAGTAGTAAACAACTTAGCCTTCGTCATTTTGCATCATTATACTAACCGATAGATAACAGGTTACACAGAATACATATATTATTTTGGGGAGGGGGGTACAAGAGACATCTGTTGCGGATACATTTGTCATTTTGAAGGGAGAACACGGTACGTTCCTTGACCCTTTGCACTAAATACCTTGGGGATATATGGGAAAACAGCTGCAAACTAACTATCTCTCTGTTCCCTCCTTATCTCTATTATTTCTGCTAGTGTGAGTGAAACTGCAGCCATTTGCTAGAAACGCTGACCAATACATTTCTACTTTAACATGTAAGCAGTTAGCACAGAAGTAGATGAGAGTTCACAAAATGGAGTCTGGGGGTTTCAGATAGGCCCAAAGCAAAAGAGTTTCATCGACACTTTGGCCTTCCGCTCTCCCGAGTTACCTGGTAGCTATGCCTAGTGGATCCCAACAGAGTCGCAACAGATCCAGTCCGGCACCTTGCTGAGGGGCTCTGCCCTTCCCACAGGGCCTGGCCCAGGCCCCAGCTCCTCACCAGCTGCCCCCTGGCTCCAGACTCGGCGCACAGGCTGAGTCCTTCCTAACCTCTAGGCCTCAGGACCAGAGTGACCTGCCCCTGCCCTGGTGCCCTGCCCGGCAGGGGCCAGTTCCCTGCTAATCAGAACCAGGCTGGGGCCAGAACTGTCTGCCTCCCTCCCTGCGGCTGCCTCGAGCACCCTTTGCCAAGCCCCATGGCCAGCCTGTGACCTCTCCTCTCCTCCGCAGCTGGGCCTGGCTACTCTGGGCTGGGCATGGGGGCCCTAGCTCCAGCTAGCTGGACTCTCCTTAACTCTGTTGGGTTCTGACTGGACGCGGACCCTCCCCTGGGGTCCTAGGAGGAGGCTAAAGGCATTCCCGCCCAGCGTGCCTGGCTCACACGGGCTGCAGGACAAGCAGGGTCAGGCCCTGGGGGCTGTGCAGCAAATCCAACTTTCAAGGGAAAAAACAAGTCTTTTAAAAAAAATCTGTTAAAATCGTGCCCCACCCTGAAGGGCCGGCGCCCCCTGGGGAGCCTGGTGAGGGCAGAAATGCAGCGGCTGGTGAGAACAGGGGGGTTGGAGAAAGAAGGATACGGGCACTCCTTGTGGCCCCCCAGCACAGGGCCTGGGTGACACACCCACTGAGCTGGGGAAGCAGCTGGTTACCATGGGTCTGACAGAGCCGTGACAAACACAATATTATCTCTGCACGTGACATCCTAGAGCGGCTTTATCTTGGCATCAGTTTCCAGGGCTCGGAGGAAATGCCCATCTGCAGCCAGAGGCGTTTGCATGAGTTTGCAGCGCTCCGGATCCTCTAGGGGCGCTGGGCGCTCGCCCGCACGGCCCTGGAATGGTCACAGAATCCACCCCCAGCCACAGGCACCAGCATTTCGGCTTCTAAAAAGGGGCCCCAGCCCTCAGGACTGAAAACGTGCCGTGAGCATAACCGGCAGAGTCAGGGCAGTAACTGAACTTTGTGGCTCCCACCCCCTGCCCCCAAGAGCTGAGTACCCACATTGGGACTGAGACCAGCCCCAGGAGTTTCACAGGAGCCAGCTCCAACCAGCGCAGCCAGCGTTCGCTGGTTGGGAGCCCTGGGCACCCCACACTGGTGTCCCAGGGTATTTAATCCAGCCTGAGTCTAGCCCAGTGCTGGAGTGGCCCCGAGGCTCCTGCCCCTTCCCCACGGCTCCGCTGCTCCCAGCCGTGCCATGAATGCATCTCTATGGTGCATGGCCCCGCCGAGGGGGTCAGGAGCTGATCAAAGGGACTTGGGGAGGGGGCGTAAAGCAGGATTCCAGGCAGCTGTATTTATCCGCCCACGTACACACTGTTTGGTTTGTGCCCATTCCTCAGCCAGACAGTGGGACAGGCGTCATGCTGGGCTCTCGCCCTTCAGCCCGAGAGGAGGATTGCAGCCCCCAGGGGGGAGCGGAAACGTTGGTGTCCCCCCTCCAAGCGCCTCCCCCCGCACATGCCTGCTTTACCACCTCTGACACATGGCATAACACTGAGATCCCAGCCTGGGAAGGGGAAGGAAGGGCCCTGACCATGAGTCACCATCAGCACAGCCAGTTCCCACTGGCACCAGGACAGGGACCTGCAGGCTCAGGTCCTTCTGCTGCCCCCAGCACCAGGCAGTGGCATGCCAGCCAGGAGCCCTCAGACCCTGCCTCTCGGACGAGGATTTTACCTTCCAGATACCAGACAGAGGAATGGCTTTGGGAGCTCCTGGGGGGAGTGGTGGGGGGTGGCTCTCTCACTAGGCCCGGGCTAAGGCGTTGAACCTGTAACAAAGGGCTCGTCTTTCTCACCCGTGTCTTGCTGCAGTGCACCGAGTGCAGGTGTCTTCGTTATCGTCCCACTACAATCCTGCCCCTTGCACTCGTCAGCTGCCTGGCACCAGCTCTCCAGCAGGGACCGCACCTGACGGCTGGCAGTGAGCCACAACACAGCCCGTCCCTCTGCCCACCTGGGCTTCAGAGAGCCCCATCTGAGCCCCCACGAACCGCGGATCCCAGGCCATGCTGCAGCTAGCAGCGCCCCAGTTCCAGGCCTTCATCCCCTGCCGAGCAGGTCCGTGGAACAGACGCTGCAAAGGCTGGCACATGAGCGAGTGCACTCCCAGCCTCCCATGGGAGCACATCAGCCCTGGGCGCTCTGTGCCACTGGCTGGCCCCCCAGGTGCAGCTGCCAGGGTTGGGTTTCCATAGAGTTCAAAGCCAGCAGGGACCATTCTGGTCCTCTGCTCTGAGCTCCAGTTAACACAGGCCTGAGAACGGCCCCCAGCCACTGGTGCTTGGCCTAGAGCAGATCTCACAGAGACCCCCCCAGCCTGGATTTAAAGACTGCAGCGGAGGGAGGATGCACCATGTCTCCCGAGGCCACTCGTTAGTTACCTTCACTGATGAAAAGCTGCACCTTATTTCTAATCTGCATTTGCCTGTGAAACCCCCAAGGCACCTACCCGTGGGCAAGAAGAAATACCTGACAGTCAGGCCCTTAGAGACTGATCAGGTCACCTCATAAGTGCTGATTGTACCCCAGGAAAGTCAAGTGTCCCCCGCTCCCTCAGGCAGGTTTCCCAGCCCCTAAATCATTCCTGCAGCTCTTTTCTGAGCCCCTTTCTAAGGGTATGTCTACACTACAGGATTAATCCGAATTTAGATAATTCGAATTTGGGAAACAGGTTGTATAAATTCGATTGTGCGCGGCCACACTAAGCACATTAATTCGGTTTTTAACCACATTAATTCGGTGGTGTGCGGCCACACTACCCCATTAATTTAAACACAGTAATTCAGTGGTGTGCGGCCACACTAACCCTAATTCGAATTAACAAAATCGATTTAGGCTCTACTCCGCTCGTCGAGGTGGAGTACAGAAATCGATTTTAAGTGCCCTTTAATTCGAATTAACTGGCTCTGTAGTGTGGACGGGTGAAGGGTTAATTCGGATTAACGCAGCTAAATCCGAATTAAAGTCGTAGTGTAGACCAGGCCTAAGTTGGCACCGGCCTGTTGGCAGGGTGGGATTCGGCCCTGGACACAGGATGCAGCGAGTAGCGATTACTGCCGTCTCCAGAGGAGATACCACCTCCCTACTCCCGTCTCTACCCACGAGGAGTGCAGCAGCTCTCGCAGCACCCTGGCAGCTCATCTTCAGCTGGTTCCCCACATCCTTTCCAGTGTCCCCCATTCCAACCCAGCTTCCCTTTGCCTCTGCGTGACCCACGCTGTGTTCCTAGCTGCATAGCCTTGGACATGTATCGTTCCAACCCGACCAAGGGATCCAGCTAGTGCCGCGTACGGCACCTGGCAGGGGTTACTGCTCCACCACGCAGGGCAGCTGCCCGTCGTACTCGTGCTGACTTTATGTTTTATTTTCCTACAGCCCATTGCTCGAGACACCGAATAGCATCGGGCTGAGAACAGAGCCCTGCAGGACCCTGCTAGATCCAAGCCCTGGCGTGATGCAGCCTCACCTGCAAGTGAGATCTCAGTGACCAGCCCCGGCTACAGTGACCGTGCAGCGTCCATGTTTGAACCAGGATGCCAGGGGGGACTAACTCAAAGTCCGTTACGACAGCTGAGACCTTCACCAACCTCCTCCTCCTCCTCCTCTCAGACAAGGGCTTTGATGTCAGAGCGCTGCAGCGCTGGGGCGGGACTGTTGGCGAGGAGCCGGGCTCTGCACCAGCTGGAAGCAAGAGCTGCTTGGGCCACCACGAATGTGCCAGATGTTACAGGCGGGGATGGGCTGGAGGAAAAGCATTGGAGGGGCGGGCGGGCATGAGCGTTTCTTCAGGACCCACCAACACCCCTTGCTCCAGCTGGGGCTGCAGGGCAGCTTGCCTCAGTCAGGAGGGGAGGGCCCTGGGGAAGGGGACACAGGGGCCAGAGGCTGCGCTGGGGGATTCAGAACGGGGGGGGGGGAAGGGGGGAGAGAACGTCCCCAGAAGAGCCAGGACCCACACTGCAGTCTCAGCCTGCAGGGGCAACGGCTGCTCCCCCTCCGCAGTAACAGGAAGCTGCTGGGGGAAGAGCCCGCTTCACCCAGCCCAGAGCGAAGTGCTTTATGACAGGGATGCCCCCCCACACACACCACATCCCCCCCCTCCCCCCCGGCGTTCAGATAGTGGGGGTGGGAAGCGCAGGAGCTGAGAGATTTAAGAGGAAACTTGAGGGCTAGAGCAGGGGGCAAGGTGCAGGGGGTGAGGAGGGACGCCGGGGGACAGCCCCACTGGAGCTGTGACATGGGTGAAAGGAGGCTGCCCCCCACCCTCACGCGGAAGCAGCCAACCTCCCCACCCCCCGCTGCGCCAGCCAGCCGCCTACAGCTCCAGCCATGGGGGAAGGAAGCGATTCCTCATTCACAGTTTCAGTTTAAGAACCAAACCGCAGCAGGCTGCAAAGGGAGCTTTATTCACGCAGCCCCATGCACAGAGAGCAGCGAGAGCGCACAGATGCGCACGCACACACACACGCACACACACACACACACACGGCACGACGTCCCGCTCAGACAGGCGCCGTGCACAGGGGTCGATGCACCGGGGCTTGCAGACAGCCGCCCGCAGGCCCAGCAGCTCATCTGTCCACCTCCCCGAAGACGATGTCCTGCGTGCCTGCCGAGGAGAGGGGCCGTTAGACGGGGCAGGGCAGAGACGACTCCTGGCGCCCAGCGAGGCAAAGCCAGCCCTTCTGGCCCCAGGCGCAAGGCCCCTTCCCCCTCCCCCCACGCCAAGCCCCTTCTTGGGGGGTCAGGCAGGATGGGCATGGGAGCAGCACCAGGGAATCGCTGGGGGTTTAGGGCCCGTCACGCGGTACCGCCAGCCTTGCTTTGGCCAGAGGAGCTCTCGCGGGCCCCCCTGCCAGCAGCCAAACTCCCTCAAGCCCCCTGCAGGGGAGCTGGGACACCCAGCACACCAGCAGGCCCTGCCCCACAGGCTCAAGAGGAGCCAGGGGGCACGATGCTTGGAGTCAGCGGGGCTGTGCCAGGCCCAGGGCACCCTAGATCTGGCTCCCTGCTTGGCCCTGGCATCTCAGGAAGGCTCCCCCCAACCAGCTGGCACCCACACGCCTGCACAGCAATGCCAGCCACTCTGGATCACCAGCCCCCTCTCCTCCCTGCTGTTCGCTGCCTTTACCACCACCTCCCCTCCCCCCGTGCCCAACATACCGATGATGGCCACAACGTCTGCCAGCATGTGGCCCCTCGACATCTTATCCAGGCCAGCCTGGGGGGAGAGAGAGAGCGAGTGAGGAGCCAGGCCCAGGCCAGCTGGCTCCATTACCCCAGAGCCCCCCGGCCAGCACAGAGCTGCACATGTGCTGCCAGCTGGACCCCCTCCCTGCTCAAACGGCTGCTTTCTGTTCTGATTTCCCGAAGGGCCCCGCAAAGCAGCCAGGTCAAGGGCTCTAGGGACAGGCCAGCCCGGCTCCGCATGGCCGGCAAGAGCAGGAGCCTGGACTCCCCAGGGACTGCAGCCAGCTCCGGAACAGCCCTTCCCCCAGGGAAGAGACGCCCGTGTGCCAGCACGTGGGACGCAGCAGCCTGGCCAGGCCCTGGAATTACCCTGCAGGGAACAATCCTGGGCTGGGGAGGTGCTGCCCCCTGGCAGACCTGCAACCGCCTAGGGGGCAACCAGGCAATGCCCTGGAAGTGCAGAGCTACAGCTGGCATGGGAGGGGCGGAGCTACGCAGCCCGAGCCTCGGTGGTCAGGACAATCACTGGCCAGGCTGCCATGGGGCCAGGACACCCAGGCCAACCGGTCTCATCTCACGAGCTGGGCCGGGGGTGGGGGAGGGGGTACGACTCCTTTTCCTTTCTCACTTAGCCCCCCCACCTCCTCAGTGCTATGGTGGGCAACTGGGGCCAGCGCTGACTCCCATGGAACAGTGCCCCCTAATGAGCTCCCCGGCACAGTGCTGGGGCCTGTGCTGGCTTAGAGACCCCAATGAGCCACCCTGGTCGCTCCTGGAAAGTCTCCCATCCCCAGCCCACTCAGCTTGTGGAGCTACAAGCAGTGGGCCAAGCGCTAGTGAAGGGAACGAGCGCACTGTTTTTCTGTAGGTCCTACAAAAACAGCAGTTACTATTTGCCCCTTTCTCAAGCATTCTGGAAGCACCTTCCCCAGAGCAGAGTTTCTGGGCCAAACCTGTGGTACGAAAGTTCACCAGGCACATGTCTTGAGCCTCAACAGCCGGCGCCCAGGGCGTGTCCCTACGGCCTCCCCCGCCCCGCCTACAGCCACCGCCTCTCATAGCAGGTGGGACTGGGGCTGCACAGGTAGGGCCTGAATCTCAACCCCAGGCTGGGACCCAGCGTTTCCTGCTCCTCGGCCAAGAGTAGATCCTTCCAGCCCCGGGGCTGTGCAGGACCCCAGTGATCAACGCCCCCCAGCCCAGGACCCCTAGGTTGAAGCCTGTACCAACCTCATCCCCATGAGAGCCCAGCCGCCCTCCACAGCAATGGGGCCCAGTGAGCATTGCCCCCCCAGAGCCAGGCTGGAGCTGCTCAGCAACACACCCAGCTGTGCAGGCTGCACCTGGCCAGCAGCTCCACTAGCCACAGGCAAAGCCAGAAGCCCAGGGTTGGCCCTGTGCCCAATGCAGCCCCTTGGCAGGCTGAGCTGCGGCTGCCCACACTTCCCTTTTCTGTGCCATGTGCCTTAGGAGCAGCTCGTGGCCCAGAATAAACCCTGCAGCTCAGCGCAGGGGAAGCCATCCCCAAGGATGGGCAGAGCTCAGATCGTGCTGGGCGCCTAGCGCCGAGCCACTGCTCACAGCCACTCCCTGTGCAACGCGGGGAGCCAGAGAGTCCCGGCAGATCCCTAAAGCGACACACACCCAGGACAGTCCCAGCAGCGCTCCTAAAGCAACGCACCCCATCCCTTCCCCCAGACTGTCTCAACAGCACCCCTAAAGCGAGACACCCCAACAGCGTCCCTAAGCGAGACACCCCATCCCCTCCCCCCAGACTGTCCCCGCGGCGCCCCTAAGCGAGGCACCCCATCCCCTCCCCCCAGACTGTCCCCGCGGCGCCCCTAAGCGA